GGAAACAAAAGGAGGATCTAAATTTGGTTTTGGTGGGACAGTGTGGGTTTGGCCTGAAGAAAGAGGGCACACAATAGGGGATTGGTTTGTCCTTAGACTGACGTCCCCGTGTGGAAGCCCTCAGTTGCTCTTTAGCTCACTCATCCTACTCCCTTAGCTTGCCTACTCAATTATTGATTTGCCTTGGTGTATTCTTACAAGCCCAGCAGATGGATTGACTCACCACTCAAGGGAGAGGCTATTGGATTCCACGTGGGTATAGGCAGGTCATCTTCCACAAAGCGGTGTTGATGATAGGTATGAGCTTTTTTGCTCTTCACCAGAAAGGAACGTGGCATTTTCCATTCACTGCCTGGGCAGAAACACAGAATAACAGTAGGTAAATCTCTGTGCTTTGGGGGGTAATTTCTCATTTGTTCCCCCAGCACATCAGCTCTGTATGCAGCAGTGATGAGAATTAAACCCCTTCTACTGGGGAGACAGAGAGTTCATCTCAAAGGTCCCTCCACCCAGTTGAAGAGCAAGGAGTGCTTGCTTGGGTTTAGGTGCTTAATGGATCTCAACTCTGGGGAAAATATATAGCTGTGGAGGGGGCTAAGCATTGCCAGATAGGCTCTGTCACTGAATGTGGAGCTGTGACTGCAGCTCAAAGATGGGATTGCAGATTACAGCATACCCCATAAAAATTACACTTCACAATCTACCCCCTAGGTTGAGGCAAAGGATTACTGCTGTCTTTATATTGTAGGTGGAGAAACACTGAGTGCTGTGTTACAGACCAAAACTGTTTCTGTGGCAAAGATACATCAGAACTCAGAATCTCTTGTAGCTCTCTGCTCTGGCTACAGGACATGGTGCATCTCTGAGGACACAGTGGGGACCATGGGTTGGAGACCATCCCTTCGAGAAAGGGTCTGTCTTAGTGTTTTTCTGCACCTAGAAGAGCGCAGTCCCAAGCCACGACATTGGCTCCTCTGTGAAACTGCTACATGACTAATAATTATAGAAACAACATCAATAATAAGAGAGATGCAGTGGAAAATCCCTGCAGCCATGATGTATGGTGGGCTTCCTTCTTGTTGGCTGTAGCTTGGGTATTTTCTATTCTGGCTGACAAACAACAGTCAAGCAGAGGCAGAGCAGAAGTGCTGGGTGAGAGAGGTTACCTTTTGGATCTGACTCAAATATCACAGACCGTTGAAATGATGGGATAGGAACAAACATAAAATGCTGAAATTTAATCATACAAAATTGTCTTGCAAAGCATCTGTTATCTTTACTACCCAGAACCCAGCCCGCCCTGTGCCTGCTCCCCATGGCTAGTAACTGCTCTCATGCAGGCAGTATGACAACAGGCTCAATGTTGTGTACAGCAATATCAGCTGGAGCCTTATTTGCATGCGTATTTGCATTTTCCCCTATAATTGTTCAGGACAGCACTAAAAGCAAATCTTGCTGTATTTCATATGAAAAGTCAGCAGTAAGTCCTGGCTCTCTGTTCATGGGAAAGTGCATTATTAAGTTGATGTTTTTCCTGAGAGCAGTTACATGTATCCTACTTACTTACTAAAAAAGAACAAAGTTTGCTCCTGTTAAGTAGGGATGACCTGAAACATCTGTGAAAATCAGGACAGAGCAGTGTGGGCTCCTGGAATCCCAAACAGCCAGGGATTGGAAAGGTCTGCTCCTTAGGGTTCGGAAGTGCCCGTGCTACCCCTACATGCTGAATATAATTACATAGCCCAGTGGTGTTTTGTTTAAAGCTCCGAGGGCCACATTTACCGTAGTGCCTATGCCTGCAGGTATGCGTACTGTGGATTTCAGACAGCGAGGAGGTCTGCTGTGCACGGGTGGGTTGCCAAGCCCGCTGTTGTTGGTGAGTCAGATGCTCACCAGTGCAGCTGCCTTTGGAAATGCAGTTATAGCTGCCTTTTAAAATCTGATCCAGCATTCCCAGTGTTTCTTCTATGACTTCAGGGATAACTCTTGGTGTCTCCAGCCATTTTTTCTTCTGAATGACTCACCTGTTTTTCTTCATCTTTTTCCAATAAATTTGCATGTAACTTGAGATGAATAAGAGAAAACAGAGGCCAAGAGTAGATTTGTTAATTTAATTTTAGAAAGAGGACAAAACAGTACTGAGAATGAACCATAAGTATGCCCTTGAGGGAAGGGATGCTGAAGTACATTGCTGTACTTACTCTTCTGTAACTCTCTCATGAGGTTCTTTCCAAGTACCGTAAAGCGTTATCTCTGCCTGGCGAAGGGCCGCGTGCACAGAAATGCCTCCATCTCGGTACAAACACAGGCGTGTTCTGCAATGGGCATAACCCTTCAGCAGCGTGCCCTGCTCAGCCTGTGCACCCGCATCCTAGCAGAAGGGCTTAGCTCAGAGAGGCTCACTGCTCTTGGTCAGTCCCAGATGGGGTACCTGTGGCTGGGGGCCCCCCCCGCTGAAATATAGATGTGCCCCAAATTAAAGTCCTGCCACAAACCCTTTAGACATGGAATTTCCACTCATCTCAAAGGGATTTTCCCATGTGGTGGGGCAGGACTGTGTCCACAATGGAGGATATTCATACCAGCAAGCTTTAGACATCTGATTTCTCTGCCTGAATTAGCCAGTTAATTTCCCTGGAAGGGAGGAAGAGGCTCCAGCAGCAGGTAACTCTGAACGCAGGGTGAAAGCCTGCACCCAGCAGTGCCCGCTGCAAGAGTCACCTTCCCTGCCCACCGGCTAGGGAACCCCAAGACATTAGCCGGACAGCTTAGCCAGGTAAGTTAGAGGATTTTAGATGGGTGGCATAAGCAATCTTGTGGTGTCTTATGGTAGCACCCATACGCTAAGTACACGAAGGCACGAAGTACAGCCCCTCTTTTCTGATGGCAGTTGCAAGTAGATGCACATGAATCAACAGGATTTTTCTGGATGTGTCTGCCCCAGCATATGTAAAAGACAAATTTGGTCCAGTATCTTGGCTGCTGATAAGGGCCTCTACTGAGCACAACGATCTTTAATGCACTGCTGAACGTTACAAAAGGAAGTTACCTTCCCCCACCCCATTTTACAGAGAAAACAGGAACTGGGAGCCCAAAGCATAGTTAATTAACAACTGCATTGAACTGTCTTTGTGATTCACACAACCCAGTTAGAGGAAAGCTAGAAGCACAGATTGTGAGAGAAAAAATACTATCTCTCCTTGAAACTTAAGATTACCAGCAGCAAGTGATCAGCTGCTACTAATGGCTAACTACACTTCACAGAGAGAGTAGTGCCATGGACAACAGACCCTGCTATGTCTTAAAGCCATTAAAGCTTCCGACAGAATTTAGCTCCAACCTTTTGCTAAAAAGTAAACTTTATTTTTATGGAGTCTGTCCTTGCCGGCCCCTGTGGTAGCAGTTTCTACCTTGGCTGGCAAGTGCAAAAGGGTTTTCTTTGCTCGGGCAGGAGTGCCTACCCAAAATGCAAGTGTTGCGGCATTTTTTGGATTCAATACAGAATATAAAATCAGTAGCTGGCTAGAACTGACATTCTTATTTTTTCACCATGCATGCAGCTGTACAATAATGTTGTAGTAATCTACCCCGAGGAGACGACAGCCAAAAGGACCCAAGGGAAAAAACCTGCTTTGCTATTTTGGGTACCTACCCTGAAGCACCTTGGAAGGGCTTCTTTAACCAGTTAAAATTCCCCAGTCAGACCTGAAAGCAGACCCAGCATTTGCAGATTCCCCTCCTATGTTCAAACTCAGTTACTTTGAGCCTCAGTGATGCTCTCTGGTGATTCTGCAGAGTATCACACGTAAAACTGTAATGTAATACCGAAACACTGGAGATTGTGCAAGAAGCAAACTAAAAGGGTTTTTTTAGGGGGTGGTTTCTGACTTCAGGATCCTAATTTTACTTGATCCCACAGTCCTCGTGAAGCCCTAACTCCCACTGCACTGCATGGCAGCTCGCAGTACCCAAAAAGACAGGATCAGGCCCTTTGATATAATTTAGAAGAAATTCATATTCTCACTGAATTAGATTACGGAGCTGCTCTCTCTGGTTCCTCCGGTGGATGATTCATAGCACAGGACACCGTCCTGGGGGACAGGTGTTCGCAGGATGTTGCGCCAGGCTGAATCAGGAACCCAATTTGCAGCCTAAGTTCTATTCTAAAGCTGACTTTCATTCTCCCCTAAATTCAGGTAATGCTGTTTTCAAATTTACAAGGTTAATTGTAGAGATGAAATACTTTTTCCCACTAGACTCAGCAGAAATACTTAATTTTAACTTACAATTGATATATATCTTCATATAAGTTGATAAGTGTGCAAAGTGTTAGAAGAGGATTATTTACTTACCATTGCTTAATTTATCTTTAAATATTAATATTGCTTTTTTCTGTTCTTTCTGGCAGAAGTGAAGCTACCAAAAATAAAGAATAGTTTGTCTTTTGGAAGACTACCTTTTTTTTTAAGAAAAAAGCACAAAACAGAACACAATCTGTGTCTGAAATTTGTAAGACTCCAAATAAAATAAGAGGTTTTATGGATTCCTGAGTCTTTAAATATGAAGTCATATTCAAAAAAAGAATTTCAGTTCTTTACAACAAAATTAATCATGTCTTTACTAGCCCACCATTGCAAAATCAAATGTACTTGGGGTGAATAATCTGAATGCAGCTTTTTTTTAGTGGAAAAATGAGCAGAGTATTTTTAATTCCTGTGTAAGTCTGGGCAAATGGACACTATGGCAGGGCTAGCAAATTATGGAGACAATCTTGTCCAAGAAGTGGAATGGAAATGCTTGTACATTAGTAGTATCTAGAAATAGTATTTAGAATATAATTGCAGCATTTGTTCTCCAGAAACCTCATTTAGCTCCTAGTGATGTTGGGAATGCCTCTGGCTTCAGCAAACTTTGCCTCAGGCTTCCATGGATAAATAAACTTACGTAGTGCAATCTAACAAACTCTATATCCCCTTAACATATAGATGCACTTACTGCGTGAACTTGCAAATCATTTGCTTTCCTGCTTAATGTATTGAATCAATCTGGTGGTATATGAGGAGCGTCTATAAATAGCTAATTCCATATGCTAACAATTGTTACACTAATCAGCATATACTTAGAAAGGATGGAAAATAGTAAAATAAAAGATAGGTTTGAAGCAAAAAATCCTACACAGGAGAGACTGAATTCTCATCTAGCAAAACTGGCACAGATTAATTGATGTCAGCAGAGGTGTGCTGTTTTGTGAATTTAAAGGTCTGGCCCTGTAAAAGAGCAATTAAAAGGGAAAATACAGTATGCCCTCTCCTCAATGCTGAAGCATAGAAGTCTGCACCTGGAAATTGGTCCTGCTGCATGGAGCTTGCTGGGACGCAGGTATCTGAGAGCATTGTCACATACTTTATATTTTGTCTTACTATTATCATTTTCACATGTGAGAGTGAAGTAAGTATATGGTATATAATTTTAAAAGTTTGACTCATTTGAATTAAGTGAACCATTATCATAAAGGAATCCTGAGGACAAGTGTCTTAAGCAGTGGAATATGTTACATATTTGCAAACACAAGCAAAAAAGAAGAAAAAGCTTAGAAAAACATATCAGAGAAATTAGAAAAACAATGAAATTAAAAGTGATTAAAAGAATAAATAAATCACCTGTTTGGGGGACTTTGCTTTACTGGATTCACCTTGAAATCTCCCCAGACAAGAGAGACGTCGTCTTCTCTCTGGACTCCTCTTCCACTTTTTCACTTAGTCGCAGTCTGCTGAAATAGATACTTCTCCTTTTTTCTCTCTCTGTTTTTTTTGCCCCTGTTCCCCTCCCTGATTTTTCAATCAGATTATTTGTGTCAAAATCTGGCGGTGAAGAAACAGCCAATAGAGAAGCAGAGCTCAGAAAGTATTTGCTTATCAAAACTTTCCAGGACTTTGAAAACTTCAAGAGAATTCACGATGCCCAGCTCGAAACCCTGGGGGCAGCACCCTCCCCTCTCCGGGGCAGCTTCGCCTTCTGCAGGAATACTCCTCTGTCATATTGACAAAGAGCGTGACACGGTGAAATAATGTACCGAGCAGGCATTTGGTATTTTGTCTTTTCTTTAAAAAAAAAAAAGAAAAGAAAAAGAATAGCTCTTAAGAAACCTGTATTTTTACACACATTCATCCACGCATCATATCTTTCACAAACAGACACACCATCTGTCTCACATACACACACTCACATGCTTCAGTCTCATAAACAAAACCATCTAGCACATATGCACAAAATTATTTTATTCCAGAATGAGTCTTTTATCTCTCCAATTTCCAAGGAAAAAGGAATAAATACTTGCACAGTAGTAACTGAAAAAGATGCGTGTTAATCAGCCTTCATTTTCCTAGGCATATGTGTGTGCAATCCACATATATTTTAGGCATTGCTCTATCTATATACAGCTGTATATAGGATATAAATATAGATTTAAGAAAGCTCATTAAGCAAGCTCATTAACAAGCATCTTTGCAAAAAGCTCTTCAAGAGCAATAATAAGAATTTGCACTTCTATAACTTGCTTTCAAAAAAACTTTGAAAATAGGTTTGCAAATGTGAAATAATTGACTGCCAAACCACCCTGTAACGGCAGGGGGGAAGGAGGGAGAAGGAAGCAGAGCCACTTTTCTCAGCTCACCTGGTTGCTCTCCAGCAGAGGTGGGAACAGGAGCTGGAGAGCAGTGATTTTCTTTTGAGAATCCTTGGACGTGACTCTTTATTTGGGGACAAACAAGGAGAGCTGATCTCCTCAAAAGCTGCAGGGAGAGTAATTCCTTGATTTCACCCATTCTCTGATTTTCATAATCTTCCTGACTCGCAAGCGCACAGCGGCATGAGCTGTGTGCCCTCGGACGTCCCCTCCTGCACTGACAGCACACTCTGTGCATGGCTGGAACTGGGGTGGCAAAGATGCCCACCAAGAAGTTTATAATTCAAGGCGTACATAAGCATATATGTAGCTGTTGAGTGCCAAGCACTGGGACACCTCCGACAGAGATATGCTTTTATATCATGGAAGTTTTTTGCTCCCTGTGAGCTTTCAAATGCACATCGCTCTTTTCTACAGTCAGTTGCATTAAACCAGGACTCGGTTTGGTCCCTTTTCCTACTGCCGCTCAAGGTGGTGAGAGCACCGGGAAGCAACAGCCATTTTCATGCCCTGCACCAGGGTCGGCGATAAGCTGGTGTCTCCCTGATGGAGCGGATGTGGTCCAGAGACGCTTCAGACTGCCAGCGGAGATATCCTGCACCCCACCATGCCCGGCAGCAGTGCCAGGCGTGCTGGCCCTCGGGCCCTCTGCCGGGACTGCCACAAGTCACGGCTCTTGTCACTGCGCCCTGACGTTGCCCCACGGCACCGGACAGGCTGTGCAATGGGTTTTGATGCAACTCGGAGATAGGAGTGTAGATTCACCCACATTGAGAAAGATTCAGATTTTGATCTTAACCCATCTGTCATTTACCGAACATAATTAGTTCTTGTTGTTTATAGAAGCAAACAATCCGTTTTCCCTTTCCCTCCTCCCCTCCTTATTTATCTAGCTGGGTTTTGCATGAAAGAAACACTCCCAAGGCATTGTGCTAGCAAGCTGATTTGCATCCTCTTAAACACAGGCATTTGAAGGATTATGTTTCCCGCTACAAAAACAAGCATTGTAACAGAAAACCAAAATGTACATTGCAGCTTCAGGGTTTCATATGAAGACAGTTACAGGAATTAAACAAAACAGGAAAATGACAAGCTGCTGAAAGGACTGAGATGTTATTTTATGAAACATTGGAGCTGGCTTCTGCCAGCACCCCTGAGCACAGACCTCCTGTTGACATAAAGTGCAAATGGCTGCAGAACGTGGCTTTTAAACTGGAGATAGTAGAAGCAACTCTGCCACACAAAAAAAAAACCCTCCAGAAAACTAGTTATGCAAAAAAATCTAATAGCATGTTCATTAAAATCTCATCAGCTAGCTGATTTGAGAGGTGCTCCGAAGAGCCCTGGGAGCAGGAGGATGACTATGTCCCCCAGTGTCAGTAACCTACGTGTAGAGCAGCTGTTCTGCTGCCCCCAGTAGCCACCGTCTCGCAAAGCCCAGATACAATGGCATACACACTGACCCCTGAGATGGTGGGCACACACACTCTCTTTTATGACTATTGACTACTGCACTACACTAGAATGCCTGAAAAGAGATGGGGACCCTGCTGTGTCTGGTTCAGGTGTCACCCACCCCTCCTCCCTGTATTTTACTTCAGGAGTTCCTATGGAGCAAATAGGACGGGAGCGCAGCCAGCTATCGCCTTGGCTTGCTGTGTTCTTGCCCTTCCCTAGCTTTCTGTTTATGGCTTCTGCTAAACTTATCACCTCTCCTCGCCATTGAAATTGCCAGCAATAGGTGTTTTATACAAGCTGAATTAAAAAAAAACAGAGTGCCATAGATGCATTTTGGGCTAGAAGGACCTTTGAGCTGACCCCGTGTGGTCATTCTTATGTTATGTTCTTCCTGTTGATATAGTTTGCCCTGTTTTCTCTTCTTGTCTCAGGGTCAGCAGAGAACGGAGAGCCGCAGAGGGTTTATCTGGGCTCACATTGGCTTGTGCTGTCCCTGACCCACGCAGCCATGGGGGATGTATGGCGAGTTCTGCTTGCATCCCAGCACAGCTTAATTTTGTGTATTGCCGCGAGTTCTTAGTAGGGCATATGCTCCAGTACATCCTAAGTAAATAGTTTATTAAATGTATAACTCAGTAATAATAAGCAGGTTAATTATAGCACATCATGTCCACTCTAATGCAGTCATTTTCCCTTTCAAATCTAGCAGCAAACCCCTCCTGTGGCATCCATGTTTTCTTTGGCAATTTGAACGTTACAGTAATTAAGTCACAGTAAAATAATACGACTAATTGCTTCCAGCTCGTTTCTGAAGCTCATCCTAATTTCCACCCTTTTCTGTGGCAGATTAAATAAACACATCTTCTGCACAGCAGGAAAAAAATACCATCATTCTGTCCAGACTGTAATAAATATTAATTGCCACGCACAAGGCAGGACTTGATTAAAAAGATGCTGGCTCCGAGCAACTCCACCTCATCCAGAAGAGGGATGACCTGTTGCAGGTGCAGCGCGAAGGAACGATCTCGGCCCTGCGGCGACGAGAGCTGTGAAACACTGCAGCTAGGGCCACAGCAGCCAAAAACCAGCTGATACGTCTCAGATGGCGTTCTAATCTGCTTTTATTTTCTTATACCTAGTTTCTGCCTTGCAAATTTAATATCCATGATTCCTACTGGCATCTGAGGACAATTCATTGGGACCGAGGGGTCAGGTCAGCAGCTTGCCAAGCATCCTCGGCGCATTCCCACCGAGCTCCCCCTACTCGGAGAAACGCCAAGACCCCGTGGGTCCGGGGATTGGAATGTGGAGTTGGAAACCTGCTGGCGCGGCACACGGGACTGCAGGCTGGAGAGCCAGCCCCGAGGTAACTTCCGTTCCATTCCGCTTTCCTAAGCTCTGGGTTTTCCACAATGAAAAATGAACCTTCTCTAGAAGGAAGGGTGAAACGTTGTATGTAGGCGTGCTGGTGTTGGGGTGACGGCTGGACTCGATGATCTTAGAGGTCTTTTCCAACCTATGATTCTATGTCATACATTTGCTGCATTTCAGCAAAAAAATAAAACAGTCCTTGTCCCCGGTTTCCATGAAGGGTGACGGGGTCCAAACCAGTAGAACGGAACCAGCTTTGCACATCCGTGAAGTGGAAAACGATCAAATCCCGGGTGCCTGCCCTGGAGTTTCCCTCCGGGACTTCTGCGGGACGCTGGGCCCGGCTGTCCCGGTAGCGTTTTTATTCCCTTTCAGCACGTTCACTCACTCAAAAAACACCCGCGCTCAGGCGG